TTTCCAAAATGAATGTCCAGATTGGGAGAAAGATGCTAATTATGTGGAACATAATGATACAGAGGAGATGGTGTTGATGGCTCAAGTGGATAAAGGTGGCTCGACAAGACAATGAAATTGGTTCTTTGACTCGGGTTGTTCCAATCATATGACAGGTGAAAGAAAATGGTTTAGTACCTTGGATGAATCTTACTGTAATAATGTGCGACTTGGAAATGATGTTCGTATGGTTGTCATGGGAAAAGGGAATGTTCGTCTCGACTTTGAAGGTGTGACTCACACATTGAATGATGTGTACTATGTCCCAGATCTCATGAACAATTTGATCAGTGTTGGCCAAGTCCAAGAAAGGGGAATAAAGATCTTGATTAAGAAAGGTTTTTGCAGCATATACCATCCAAAAAAGGGGCTGATCACAAGGGTTCAAATGTCCTCAAACAAAATGTTTATGATCAAGGCTAGACCAAGTGGCATTGATGAGTGTCACAAAACAGAAACTGATGACACTACTCGTCTTTGGCATCAAAGATTCTGGCATATCAAGAACAGGAGCTTAAAGGTGCTGCATGATAAGTATCTGGTGAGGGGGCTGCCAAGGATTAATGTCGAAGGTGGAACCTCTTTGGACTGTTTGGTAGGAAAACAAACCAGAGAATCATTTCCTAAAACAAGTTCATGGAGGGCAACCCAACAACTTCAGCTTGTCCACTCAGATATTTGTGGACCCATCACCCCTCAATCGACCAGCTTAAGGAGGTATATTATTAACTTTATTGATGATTTCTCACGAAAGTGTTGGAGTTATTTTTTGATAGAGAAATCACACGTTTTAGACACTTTTAAGAAGTTTAAAGCTTTGGTTGAAAAAGAAGCAGGAGTTGAGATCAAATGTTTGAGGACCGACAGGGGAGGTGAATTCAATTCCAGTGAGTTCAAAGTGTTCTGTGAAGACAATGGCATACAAAGACAACTCACTGCAGCTTTATACCACATCAAAATGGCGTGGCAGAGAGAAAAAACCGAACTCTGATAAATATGGTGCGAAGTGTAATGAGTGCAAGGAAGGTTCCAAAGATTTTCTGGCCTGAAGCTACCAACTGGTGCGTACATGTACTCAATCGAAGTCCTATTGCAGCTCTTGAAAATTGCACACCAGAAGAAAGGTGGAGTGGTCGAAAACCATTTGTAAGTTATTTCAGAGTATTTGGATGCATTGCTCACGTTCATATTCCTAAGGAAAGAAGGTTGAAGCTGGATGACATAAGCTTAAAGTGTGTCTTGTTTGGGGTTAGTGAAGAGTCCAAAGCATATAGACTMTATGACCCTTCCAACAAGAAGATTATTGTRAGTAAAGATGTTGTATTTGAAGAAGATGCTTCCTGGAATTGGATACAGCAATCAGTGATCAACCCGGAGTGGGAAGATAAAGATGAGCAGGGGAGTGATGAAGATGGGCCAAATACCTCAGATGTTGTTAATAGCCCATCGAATGAACTAAATAGGACTAATAACGCTGATGGGGGCGTCGAACATAAATGAAAGTGGGCCTTCGAACACTAATCCAGTTACAAGCAGTATTGTTGAAAGCAACAAAAGCATCGTCTTGGATGCAAGATTATGTCAGTGGAGAAGATGTTGAAGAACAAAGGGAAAACGTTGCTATGTTTTCTTCTTTTTCGGAACCAACCAACTATCAAGAAGCTGCACAAGACGAGTGTTTGATACAGGCAATGAACCAGGAGATCGAGTCAATTGAAAGAAACAACACCTGGGAATTATGCGATCTGCCAGCAGGTGCAACAGCAATTGGTGTGAAATGGGTCTTCAAAACTAAGCTAGACAAGGATGGGAAGATCGATAAATACAAGGCTCGACTCATGGTAAAGGGGTATGTTCAAAGGCAAGGGATTGATTACTCTGAAGTTTTTGCTCCAGTGGCTAGATGGGATACAATCAGAAGCATTTTTGCAGTTGCAGCACAACAAGGTATGAAAGTTCATCAATTAGATGTAAAGAGTGCTTTTTTGTATGGTAATTTGGAAGAGACTGTGTATGTAGAACAACCCCAAGGTTATGAAGTACAAGGTAACGAAGGAAAGGTCTATCGACTGAAAAAGGCCCTATATGGTTTAAAGCAGGCTCCGAGGGCCTGGTACGGGAAAATTGAAGGCTACTTTCTTAAGGAAGGCTTCAAAAAATGTCCATTTGAACCGACCCTGTTTGTTAAATCAGCTAAGGAAAATGTTTTCTTAATTGTTTCTATCTATGTAGATGATTTAATTATAACAGGAAGTACACTCGAATTAATTGCGAAATTCAAGGCGTCGATGAAATCTGAGTTCGAGATGTCAGATCTAGGAGAAATGCGATATTTTCTGGGTGTAGAGGTTATACAAAGTGAAGATGGTATTCATCTCAATCAGYGRAAGTATGCTCGTGAAATACTCGAACGATTCAACATGAAAGACTGCAATGGTGTAAAGACTCCTATGGTTCCGGGCTGCAAGTTGGTGAAGGATGATCAAAGTGGGTTTGTTGATGCAACAATCTACAAACAAATGGTGGGCTATATCATGTACCTGGCAGCAACGCGTCCATATATAATGTTTGTTGCTGGTCAATTGTGTCGTTATATGGAGGCTCCAACTGAACAACACATGGCAGCGATGAAGAAATTGTTTCGATATATCCAGGGGACTAAAGAACTTGGACTTTTTTATAAGAAAGGAGGCAGCGATCTTTTAGTGGCGTATTCTGATAGTGATTATGTTGGTGATCATGACAATTGAAGAAGCACTTCAGGTTATGTATGTTTTCTGAGTGGGGCTGCAATTGCTTGGTCTTCCAAACGACAACCAATTGTAACACTCTCGACTACTGAAGCAGAGTTTGTAGCTACCACAGCATGTGCGTGTCAAGTTGTATGGCTAAGAAGAATGTTTGAATACATTGGTCTGACTCAGGAAGAAGGTACTGTTATTAATTATGATAACATGTCAACTATAAAGCTTTCGAAAAATGCGGTTATGCACAATCGAAGCAAGCACATAGATGTGAGGTATTTTTTCCTTCGTGATTTGGTGAATGATGGAACAATAGAGTTGAAGTACTGTAACACTTCAGCTAAAGTAGCAGACATCATGACAAAACCGTTGAAGGTTGATCAGTATGAGAAGCTGCGAGCTATGTTGGGCGTGTTGGAAGCAACTGAGATAAACTAAAGTTGGGAGTCTTTAGTTTAGGAGAAGGTATGTTGGAGTGGGTCAAATATGATCACGTGAATAAGTTCCTGTTTTACAGGAAGAGTTTGTTTATTTTGAATTGTTC